GTGTCAAAATGACAAGGCATGTCAAATCACATTAAAAGGCCAATGATATCGTGTCACGTGTATAAGTGATATGTTCTGGCCAATTAAAAGCGGCTTTGTCGCACTTCAATTTGATTGGTCGGAAAGAGTTTGTTTTTATCATAACTCTTCCCTTCCACAACTATAAATAGGGGGTCTTCATAACCCAGAAAAAACACGGAAGTTATAACAAGAAGCAAGAGGGAGCTTATGGATCAAATGCTGCAGATTTCTCTAAAAGCTACAAGCATTCAATTTTTCTAAGGATTAAAAGATCAAGATAAAGATTCAAGAACAAGCTGCAAAACCCTTGGATTAAAAATACGTCAAGATCAAGATCAGGATCAGGCCTCAAACACTTGGATTAAAATAAAATAAAATTCAAGATCAAGCTCGAAGGCTCTTTTATTTACTGTTGAAAAGTATAATAAGAGGATTCATAAGATTGTAACACTCTAATATTTGAAATAAAATACTACGATTGTTGCAATATTTTTCGGTTTGATTTTATTTTCTCGACGCAATTTATTGTCTACAATACCGACCCAAATCGGTCAGTATATTCATAATAATTTTAAAAACTTATTTTTGTTATGGGAAAAAAATAATTGAGCCTGGGCGGGAAAAAATAAATCAAAATTTTTGACCGACTTCAGTCGGTATATTTGAATTTTTTTAATTAAACTTTTTTTGGTAGATAATATGCAAAGTCTGACCAGGTCTTGGTCAAATATTGACCAATTTTCGACCGATATTAGTCGAAATTGATGTGTCAGACAAAACACAATTTCTTTATTGTGGGACCACTTTTTCCGTTCGAAAGTGGTCGGTATTTTTTAGTAAAAATTTTTATTTGACTTTTGCGACCAANTATATATACACGCATTAAAAAATATAAATTTTAAAAATAAATATCGTAGGGAATTCAAATTTCTTGAATTTTCTACTTTCTTGAATTTTCCGATCATGATAGGGAAGAGGTTGAGAGGAAAATTAACTCCCCTTTTGCAAACTCTGTGCCTGTATTTAAAGTGGTTGGTTTTTGCCATGGATTATTGTGCTTATGTCATTCTCTGTTTTCTAACGAACTTTATGTGATTAATTTACCTTTTTTATTTTGGTGCAAAATATGTGACAATTTATATAATCAAGAAAAAATTTAATTTATTTTTCCAAAATTTTCTTTATGTACGTATCCCTAAAAAGTCTTTTACTCCTCACATTAAATTATGCTGCAACATAATATTTAATTAAGGGTAATTTAGTCACACTAACTATTTTTGTCTAGAATTTGATATTTCTTAAATGGGTGTGCCTAAGGCAAATTGGTCATTTATTGTGGACCGGAGGGAGTACTACAATAACAAGAGATATTGTTGCTTAATGCTAATTAGTTGGGGCAGGGGCGGATCCACACTTAGCGAAGCGGTGTCACGTGACACCGCTTCGTCCAAATCTTTTACTAATTATATGTATTAATATTGTGAGAAAACGGATAAGTAGAAAAAAATGACACCACTTGACATAAATTGTTTCTTGGCATGTTGGTTATGTGCTTGATTTTGCTCTAAGATGTCAAAGGTTCTTCAAACCTCAACTAGCATACCTTTTTTTTTTTTGTAAATATTTGAGAGAGCCTTTGTGGTTAAAATATGTGATGAAGTAGAATTGAACTAGGGACTATTTATTGCTTAGAAGTATGATAATTAACGTTATTAATCTCGTTCTTTTATAAATTTCGACACCGCTTACAAAAATTACGTACACCCCTGAATTGGGGTCAGCTGTATGAATTATCTATATTTATTATACTCATTTGGATTGAAACTAGGGATTCTATAAATCTTGTACCTATTACCATACTATCTCTTGCCGATAGCTTTGGTCAAAAACTAATTGACGAGCTCAAGTATGCACATCAATATTACCAAGTCCATAGACCCAAACTTTGATCTCTATTGAGCAATATGTAAACCAGATTAGATAAGATCGGATATGAAATTATATAGCCGATTGCAACATGTTTGGGATTGAGGCATTTTCGTATTCATCAGTATGTTCACCATATTGCCGCGCCTTCATTTTAGAAGTAACATGTTTCCAAATCTTCATATTCTTTGAATCCATGAAAGGATGTTAAATGGCTTAAAACTTTAATGTCAATTTCCTGTTCATCTTTATCAAATAAGGCAGGCAACATGCCGGTCAATTATATTACATTGATAGCTTAAACATTACTCTCTCCGGTTTACATTAGTTATACTGTTACTAAATATATCTGGTCCAAAATAATTGCCGTTTTAGAAGATTAAGGTATATTTTTTTATATTTTTCCATTTTTCCTTAGTATTAAATGTCTTGAAAGTAAAAAACTAACATAGAAAATCTAAATGGAAGAGTAGAAATTATTGAACAGCATAAAGCTGGAATCATTGAGTCATGCTACATCACCTGCCGCTATTAGTTTTAATTATATATGACAAAAGGAGATCACAGATTTCAATGTGTTAGATTTGAGGATTTTGAATGAATAAACCAAATAAGAAAAGAAAGAAAAAGATAATTAATTAAAACACAAGAGGAACATAAGATTTGTACTTCTAACTTCACTTATAAAGGTGCACCAATACTTATTGCACCATAGAATTTTTTGAGCTTGGGCGCACACATATATATTTAAAAAATATAACATTGTTATACATAATATTGAGATAAGAGTATGGGTTCACATGCCGCATGCTCCAACACATAGATACGCCCCTATTTGATCTTCGTCAAATAATTCACAAATTTTAGTTGTTAGGTTTAGCAGGAACTATTTAAAAAGAATTTAACATAAACTCACATGTTGAGATGCAAGTTTTGCCGTTTCTATTATTATTGATCTATTTTTAGAGTTTGGTACAACTTTCTAAGGTGTAGTTTCTGTTTTTTTTTAAAAAAAATTGTTTATATAGTGTCTAATGCACTTTTTGGTATTGCGATTTCTGAACTTCGATAGGACTTTCATGGTTCTTCTGGTTTTCTGAATTTCGATAGGACTTTCATGGTTATTTTTTGTCACTTTTCTCGTTAAAGAAATCTAACAACTAGGATTTATTAAATGTTTGAGAAAATAAAAAGTGCTCACTATTTGTAAACTTAAAGCATCGAAATTGCTCAAAAATATATTTAAGGTACCATTTTAAACCTAGCCACAAATATAAAGATTTAACATGAACTCACATTTTGAGAAGACTTTGCAGTTTTGTTATTTTTAGTGTATTTCTGGAGTACAAAGCTACTTTCTGCAGTTCAATTTCTGTTGGTCTTTTAATTTATTTATGGAATTTAATGCAGTTTTTAGTGTTGCGGTTTCTAGAATTTGACAGGACTTTTTGATTTTTTCCTTCACATTTTTATTAAATCAAACGTCCAAAATTTATTAAATATTTGATGGAAATATATTTAAGTGATTATTTTAAACCTACCCACAAACATAAGCAACCTTTTATATTTACCAACATATGAAGAGATGACAGTAAAAATAGCACGGGTTAGCCAGTTTTCGGACTGGTCATTTTAAAATAGCTAGCGTTTGCAAAGTTATTGAAAAAGAACCACTATTTTGCTGCAACATAGGAAGTTCCAGCATAATATACTGGAGATCGGTGCACCTGTGTATGAACTTCTAGCATATTATGCTGGAACTCCAACACGCTCGTTCAGATTTATCTTTACATGAAAAGTGACTAAATTTCGGTTACTTTTGAAATTGTGACTATTTTTGAATGACCACTTGTAAATCTGACTATTTTTGAATTTATCCCGAGATAGCATACCTTGCGAACCCAAGTTAATTGGTGGTCACATGAGAGAGGCACGTGCAGTTAGTTAGCTACACTCTCATAGTGAAACCATTGTAGAAAGTGAGTGAATGTTGTGACTGCCGTACTGTTTCCATTGCTTATTGATTTTGGTTTCTTATTCTAATTGTTTCAGTATTCTCTGGAGCTGTAGTTGTTGATTTTGCTTGCTGAACATTTTTTAAATAAAGAAATGTCATCGACATTGTTCTTATTTGAGTTTTGACATTAGTTGTTGAATTTTAGATACAGGAGAACGGAACTACTTATTTGAATAAGAAAAGCCGAGGTAAGTCCCCAATTTGCAGAAGTGACAACCCTTACAAAATTGTATACCTTAATATAGTACTATATAATAATGTGATTCAACTTTTTTTATTGTATATCTTCGGGATATACAATTATATGAATTGTATACTCTGAAAGTATACAGCATACAAAACTATGCTATGTAATCTTTTAATAAGCGAGTTTTATAAATGTGTGCAGGCGCGGAAAATGTTTCTTGTTAACTGATGCACTTGAACTTGAGCCTTTGGAGTATACTTTAGCGATGTTTTCTATTAAAAACTTGAATAGGACAAGAGGTCCTAAATTTCCACGCCTCTTTGATCTTTTTCTCAAACATCTTGCTCCATTTCAAGTCATTCTACTTATCTTTGTGTGCCTATTTTTCTAGGTATCATGGTTGGGAAAACCAAGGAAAAGAACTGTCAATCTGATCAAGCTTCCCCCAGATATGGATTTAATTCCTTACCTCAAGAAATTGTTATTGACATAGCTTCCAGACTTCCCATTGCAAGTCATTTTACAACTTGTTACATGATAAAAAGCTTGTGAATCTGCACTTGTCTCCTGTGGTAAAGAACGTTCCTTGCATTATTTTTTACGCGGATTATCCATTAAGGAATCGACTCTACTTTCTTGATTTTTCTTATCATGGTAGGGAAGAAGAGGTTGTGAGGAAAATTAGAACCCCTTTTGCAAACTTTGTGCCTGAATTTAAAGTGGTTGGCTCATGTAATGGACTATTGTGCATATGTACTTCTGCATATAGTGATTCACTTTATGTGTACAATCCTTTTTATAAGAGACTACAAAGAGCTGCCTGAGACGGTAGAATTTGGTGTGCAAAAAATGATTTTTGGATTTGGTTTTCATCCTGTTACCAAAGAATACAAGGTGATCAAGATCATAAATTGTGGCAATATGTATTATAATGACCACTGGCGCTATCGTAGATTCCGGGTTCCCTACACTGGTAAATCAGATATTCAAGTACTTAGTCTTGGTAGCAACAGATGGAGAAGTATAGGAGAATTTGATTACCGTATTGATCCAAGTTCTCAAGGAATTATGTTATATGGAAAGATGCATTGGTTTACTCGATTTGGGATGTATTATGGACATCGTGACAGGATCATTGTTTCCTTTGATTTAGCTGATGATGTATTATGAAAAAAGTGATTTTGATTTAAACCCAAGAATTGGCAACTTTCATCTAGCAGTTGTTGAAGATTGTCTTGCCATTGCTCTAACTTTGCCTCGCCAAAATGGCCGAGGAATAGAAATTTGGGTAATGAAAGAATACAATGTGAAAGAGTCATGGGTGAAGTATACAATTGGGGCTCATACACCAACTCAAAATTTCGTCACTCAACATTTGCAACCATTGGTGAAAGTTCTATGCATGTTAAAGAATGGAGAGCTATTGCTTGAGTACAAAGGTGGAAATTTGGTTTCATATGATCCTCAAAATGGTGTCTTTAGGACGCTAAAGTTTCAGGGGATGCCTAATTTATTTCAGACATTTGCTCATGTGGGTTGCCTTAATTGGATTGATACCCCACCAATAGATCTTTTACAAAATTAGATCATCAAAATTATTTATACCTTCTTAATAAAAAACTTTGTCATATATGCTTAACATATTTTAGCATTTCCAGCTTGCTCCCCGCTATGATTTGGACCTTTTGCCTGCTTAGAAGTGGATTCGAAACACTGACAAATGGATCTTTAGTCCTTTGTTGTTCTTTTAATGCCATTACCCTAAGTCCTTCTTGGACACAAGCAGTATGTCAAAGAATCAACTCAGTTTTCTACATTGTGATTTATAACATAGCGCTGCAGAGTGCAGGTTATTTATGCTTGAATAGAGGTACAGATAAATGGTTAGTTGCTACTTTGAGCATGTTTCTGTTTTGTCAAAAGAATGACATTTATTAATAGTCCTTTCACTTGATCATACACAAGTATAAATACTCAAAAGGGCAACTCAAGAGTCTTGGCCACATTTAACAATGTACACTAAATGCATTACAAGTTCCTAAAAGATTATTGCTCTTGAAAAAACTAAAAGACATTTGGAAAAATGAATATTTATCAACTAGTACCAATATATGCATTTTTCCAAAGAATTGCAGTAATACCAAGATTGCTCTTTTGTTTACGGACTTTAAGAATTACCAGAGTTCCTAAGAGTCCAGGCATCCATTTCCAAGTCTGTCTACTTATCTTTGTATGTGTCATGGTCATGGATACAGAAACCAACAAACAGAAGTGTCATTCTGATGAACCTCCCACAAGATATGGATTCGATTCTCTACCTCACGAAATTGTCCCTGACATAGCTTCTAGACTTCACCCTAGTTTCTCCAAAAATACAACTCCTCTCCCTTATCTTTTACTTTTTAAAATTATACAATTTCTCTTCTATCTCATGAAATTAACCCTTTATTGTTTTGCAAAGAAATGAGTAAGGCTAAGTAGACATGGTGCAAATTAGTACTAAAAAGTGCATACTTTAACAGTACAAAATACAAAGAACTCATTGAAATATCGTTACTTTATATAGCATTAAGGTACCTAAAAAGTGCTTCTTCTACCATGGAAATCTTTAAATGACTATCTTAACGAGAGGTATATGACTAGACCAGTTTGCATTAGTATTAGCAAGTTCATATTACATCAAGAATATGAAACAGCTAGCTCCACACATTTTACATATTACAGGCTATTCATTTCATTTTCCGGGTACAAAGTTAGTGGCAAAAGCCCAAGCGTTGTTGGCTACAGGGTCAGCAATGTGATCGAAAAGGTTTTCAATTGGTCCCTTTCCTGTGACAATCGCTTGAACGAAAAATCCAAACATTGAGAACATAGCCAATCGGCCGTTCTTGATTTCCTTCACCTTCAACTCAGCGAATGCCTCGGGATCATCAGCGAGCCCTAGTGGGTCAAAAGCTCCTCCCGGATAAATTTTGTCAAGACCTTCACCCAGTGGGCCTCCGCCAACTCTGTATCCTTCAATTAAGCCCATGAGCACAACTTGGGATGCCCAAATAGCAAGAATGCTCTGTGCATGAATAAGGTTTGGGTTACCAAGGTAGTCAAGACCGCCTTCTGAGAAAATTTGAGATCCAGCCTTGAACCAAACTGCCTCACCGAATTTAACACCATTCTTGGAAAGGATTTCAGGGAAGACACAACCCAAAGCACCAAGCATGGCCCAACGGCAATGGATCACCTCAAGCTCACGGTTCCTGGCGAATGTTTCAGGGTCAGCTGAGAGTCCAGCGGTGTCCCACCCATAATCACCTGGAAACTCGCCAGTCAAGTAAGATGGAGTTTGCTCGGAGAATGGTCCCAAGTACTTTGGCCTGTCTTCTCCATACCTATTTCATCAAGGCACAATATTTTGTTACATTTATGGCATCATGCTCTTGATTAATCAAATTACAATTTTACTTTCTCGGTAGAATATAAAGTCATGTACAAATGTTACTTCCAATGCTCAGTGTATTTAAATAATCATCAGAAGTGGAGTTTATGAGTTCTTGGTACTTTAAAAATCTTCATGCCAATTCAAACTAAAATACATAAATTGATACAGACGACCTACTAGATAATTTATTGAAGATAGATAAAGAAAGAAATAAATTACCAAATGCTTTGTGGGGCACTTTTAACGGTACGTCTCATTGTGGCACGTCCACCATTAAAGCTACCAATTTTCCTAACGAGCTCATTTTGTGACTTAAGAGCTGTCTGCCCAGAAAATGCAGATTGTTGAATTGCAGAAGTTGCCATTTGAAGATTTCTTTTTTATCTTCTTTGTGCTGATGCTAAGTTTGAACTATGAAAAAACTTACTCTATATTTACATTGCTTGGGAATGGAGGTTTTTATATGGAAATTAATGGATTTTGAGGATCACAAAGTGTACACCTAAGCAGAAGCTGATTGGTTCTTGCTTCGGATTTGGATTTCACTTAGTGATTTTTTCAGTGAAAGAATGAGGCCTTTAGTTTGCCATTTGGCTGTTGAATATCTCTTGGCTGAGATTGTTGTTTCAGATATATACAGTACACTGGACCATGTTCACGTGTTGAATACTTACAAAGTAGTAATCACACTTTTGGAGCATCAGCAAAGTTGTCTCGCTATGACCTGTAGGTGAGAGGTTCGAGCCGTAGAAATAGTCATTAATGTTTGCATTAGGATATGTTATCTATATCACTCCACTTGGGGTAAGGCTCTTCCTTGAATCTTACATAAATACGGAATATTTTATGCGTTGAGCTGCCCTTTATTTTTTTACTCCCACTTGCTAAGAAAATTAACAATAAATAGCTCTGTTTAAGTAAACGAGGAAGAAAAAAATAAAAGCTAAACCGATGTTTAATTTTACGAAAAATGATTTAGAAAAGCAACAAGAATGAAAACTACGTTGGAACATTTTAAAGGCAACTCGATGCACTAAGTTAGTTGTACAGAATATCCAAAAAAGAGTATACAGAATATCCAAAAAAGAGTAAGATCACATTGGACCTATTATAGATATTTTTACCTTACATTTTTGCAAGAAACTCAATGAAATTTTATATAAGTGAATGAAGATTAAGTGGGCGTTTGGACATAAGAATTGTAAAATTCCAAACTAGGGAAAAAATATTTTCAAGTGAAAATGGTATTTGAAATTTAGAGTTGTGTTTGGACATGAATATGATTTTAGATTGTTTTTGAAGTTTTGTGAGTGATTTGAGTGAAAATTTTGAAAAATAATTTTTTAGAGTTTTTCAAATTTTCGAAAATTTCCAAAATGTATCTTCAAGTGAAAATTGAAAATTTTATGAACAAATGTTGATTTTGAAAAAAAATAAAAAAATTATGAAAAAAAAAAGAGAAAAAATTCTTATGTCCAAATAGGCTCTAAGTCAATTATTCAGATGTAATAACATAAGTACAGAAGAGCATGTAACTTCTATTAAATTCAAAATCATACACCAAAAACTGACTATATTACTTTCAGTCTATTATTACAAAACATAAAATTTTGCTTATTTGAATATGCAATAAGATCGATCTAACTAAGAGTAACATAAAAATCTTGATCCAGCAGATTATTACTATAATTAATGAAGAATAGAATTACATCACGCCAAATAATAAAATTATTTGAACAAAAAAGTGGTATCAAAATCTACTACCACCGTGGCCCCATCCTTCTCCGAAACCAAAACCACTACCACCATCTTTACCACCGCCTCCACCACCTCCTCCACCGCCGCCACCACCATTTGCACCTGACCCATGACCCTCGCCATATCCAAAGCCGATACCAGACCCACCATTACTACCTCCACCACCACCTCCGCCGCCTCCACCACCGCCACCACTGTCGTTCGCTCCTGATCCGTGACCCTCGCCATATCCAAAGCCGACACCAAATCCACCATCACTACCCCCTCCTCCACCTCCGCCGCCGCCGCCGCCACCAAGACCTCCTAGAATTTGGTCAAACCCTCCGTTTAAGTCTAAATTGGGTAAAAATGAATCCCCGAGAAGCTTCCTTGCACAGGAAGTTTGAACGAGAACACCCAAAACAACAAGAAACATTAACTTGTATGCCATCTTTGCTAAAGTATTAGAATATAGGATTTAACTATTTAAGGTACTATGGAAAATCTGCATAGGAAGGAGATTATATAATGGCATGGTCAGCTAATGTGTTTAAATTACATTAATTAAACGTTGCAAAACGAAAAAATTAACTTGAAATGAACTGAATGTAGTTGAACATTAATAGGATTTGGGATGTCAAATACAATGCAAAAGTGAAAAGTACCTGCGATATACTAGCAATCTACATTAATGCCTCCTAGGGCTCATTATGCATTAATTTTTCCAAAATGTCTGTCACGACCCGAATTTCTCACCCTCGGGAGTCGTGACGGCGCCTACTGGTGAAAACTAGGCAAGCCAAATTATTCTAATTTCTAACCTTTTCAGTCTTTAAGTCCTTATAATTTCAAAGCAACATATCAAACGGCGGAAATAACAATATCAATAACAAAGCGGAAGACGAAATCTGATAATTTAACTTAATACAAACTGCTGAAGTCTAAATACAACTCTACCTAGAATTTGGTGTCACAATTTCACAAACTGTTTAAGAATACTACAAATATGGTTTGAATAGAAATACACGAATCTGTCTCTAAATAAGTAAAACATAAAAGAAATGATAGAAGGAGGTGCCAAGGCCTGCAGGCGCCTGCAGGACTATCTCGGGTGGCCTGTTGGACTGAAGGCAGCAACCTCACTGTGGTCCAAACGCTCTGGTACCAGTATCTGCACACAGTGCAGAGTGTAGTATCAGCACAACCGACCCCATGTGCTGGTAAGTGCCTAGCCTAACCTCGCGAAGTAGTGACGAGGCTAGGACCAGACTACCAAATAAACCTGTGCAGTTAAATCATATACAACGGAAAAATAAAAGCAGATAATTATAGTTAAAGATGGGAGGGGAAAAACATGCTTCGGGAGCAACAGATAACAACAAAATATCAGGAGGAATATAAAGAAACCAAAATCCAATTACTAACAAGGATAAGGAAAACAAATGCAGAATTCACTTTCATTTCACATCTTGTTGCAGGCGTGCAACCCGATCCCATTTCATATACCTCATTGCAGGCGTGCAACCCGATCCCATTTCATATATCTACAACAATCACAAAAGAATCCTGGCAAGGGAACATGAGTATAACAACAACATCCCGGCAAGGGAAACAATATCGTAAACAATAACATCCCGGTTAGGGAGACAATGTCATAATAATAATATCCCGGAAAGGGAGACAATATCATAAACAATAACATCCCAGCAAGGGAACCAACAATGATAATCAACATTTTAAGTATGAATAAATCTCAATGGAGTCACTACAATTACAACACTAGACCCACGGGCATGCTTGACTCCGACATATAGATACTCGTCACCATGCCTATACGTCGTACTCCACAATTAACACATAGAAAATAAGACACAACTCATAATCCCTCAAGCTAAGGTTATACCAAACACTTACTTTCATGCCACAAATACAATTCAAGCCTCAACTACCGCTTTACCTCTCATTTCGCAATTACGAAGCCTGATCTCGCAATTGCGAGATAAGAGGCCTGGGCAAAAATACCAGATACCAACATTTGATCCTAAGTCCAATTTCACTCCATGGCCTATCCAAAACTCACCCGAGCCCTCGGGGCTCCAAACCAAACATGCACACCAACCTAAAAATATCATACGGACTTGCTCGTGCAATCAAATCCTCAAAATAACATCAACAACTATGAATTATACCCCAAATTCATGAAATCATTCAAGAACACCAAAATTTCCAATGTCTCAACTTTAAGTTCGTTTTATACCAAACCGATTCCGATCTTTACCAAATTTTATAGATTCAACCTAATTATTATTTCAAACTTGTACCGGGCTCCAGAACTAAAATACGGGCCCGGTACCATCAATTTCAAACACCTTTTATTTCCAAAAACTCTTATATATCTCTAGAAAATAATTTTCTTTAAAAATTCATTTCTCGGGCTTGGGACTTCGGAATTCAATTCCGGACATATGCCCAAGTCCCATTTTTTCCTATGGACCTTCTGAGACCGTCAAATCATGGGTCCGAGTTTGTTTACCCAAAATGTTGACCGAAGTCAACCTGAATTCATTTTAAATGCAAACTTCATCATTTTTCACAGATTTTCACATAATGGCTTCCCGGATACACGCCTGGACTATGCATGAAAATTGGGGTGAGACAAAAAGGAGGTTTTAAGGCCTCGGAACACGAAATTCATTTCTAAAAGAAGTGATGACCTTTTGGGTCATCACAATGTTCAAAAAACTACAATTCCTCCAAGAGACAGAGCTAGGATTTCAAGCTTATAGGTTCGGAATTCTAATCATGTTATGTATATAGTAGAGATCGAATGCCTTCGATCTATATACTTAAGAGGTCGTCTGAAGTCCGAGTCCGGACAAGACCAAGCTCGAGCTCGAGGGACTAGACCCGTGTTCGAAGACGAAGTACGATGCATACCAAGGTCGAGTTTGTCCTGCCCCGAAATAGTACCGTTATGGATTTGTACCAGAACAAGTTAGATTCCTGCCACTTCCCCAAAGTCATGGCGCGAATCCTGAAATATGATCGTACTATTCCGTACTAGGCGGTTAGACAGTTGTACCAAGAATATTCCCTAATGTAAATAGAGATATTCCTTATTTACGGCTCCCTTATTATATAAAGGGGACCCCAATCATTTGTAACACCATCTTTGACTGAGAAAAGAATATACTCTCTAGCTTTTTGCCTACTGTTCATCGGCATTGTCCTTTAGCTCCATTGTTCTTACTTTACTTTTCTTACTTTACTGCTCTTAGCCTATCTCGAGGTCACTGTCTCGAGGTCACCACTGTCAAGTATTATTGGTTTGATTAACTTCTATTTTTCATTTCTACTTCATATTTCTTGATTACTAACTAGTATTGAACTAAATCACATATCTTTAAAACCACAAATCAAGTTTAATTATTACTTGTATTTTCGAGGTAAATAGTTTGGCGTCCACCGTGTGGCTAAAAATAATAGTGATTGTTTCTTTACTCATTCTCATTACACACGTTATCTTTACACTTTTTCTTGTCAAGATTTTTGATTCTCAAGCTTGAACATGTCTCGCACACAAAACACACTTGTTCATGACAATGAGGGCCTTGGAGAAAACAGCAATATAGGGGTCACCGATAAACCTAGGGGAAAAGCAAAATGCAAAACCAGTTGATGTTAGCTCGCACATCGCTTTGAA